TTCCTGGATGTCACTCCTGAGTTCCTGTGTTTGTTTCCCTGCGTTATCCCTCGTCTCCTCTCTCCTTCGTTCCAGTCCTCATTGTGTGAAGCGTGACAAAACCAACCTAATGATACAGAGGTTCTCTAAAGTCGATTCTTCAGTGCATGTTATTTCTAAGAAAAAGCATTTCTCACAGCGAGAAAACAAATTGTACTATAATTGCTCTCATTGGTCAGTGTAATCGCTAACAGCAATGCAAGAGAGAAATTTCAACCTAAATGTCTATTCAGTTACCAAATGCACTGCATGAGCAGCTGTACAGCTCTTTGTAGTGGAGGGCTCTGTCTCTCAGAGGTGTGCTGATGCCTGTGGGACGAGAGCCACTGATTTGGGTATCTGGGTCTCTCTCTGTTTTGTTGTCTCTCATTCTGTTTTACACTAAGCACTCAAATGTCACCCTTGATGACATCTAATCACTCTGTAAAACAAACACCTGCCTGCACATCCAATTTTTTCCTGTTCTACTACTTCATTACACTTTCAATTATGACATAATGCTCAGACAATCAACCTAGCTAGGGCTTGGTTTGAAAATCGTTTTGATGAATCCTGAAAGACACAATGGAGATTTATTCACAAATTATTGTGAAACCAGTGCAGTTATTGATTCACAAATAATTGAACCATACTCAAGTGGACAGTTGAGGAAGAGTTCATAGTAAATTGGGGCTGGGAATTGTGGTTCATAAATGGTTCCATTTAAAAATACAGGAATTTTGGATGATTTTCATGACTGTGTGTTCTAGGGTTGGGTAATATGGCAAAATATCTGATTATTTTATTTAAGGCTATTTTGTACAGCCAAGCTCATTTAACAGAGTGTGTGTGTGTGTGTGTGTGTGTGTGTGCGCGCATGTTTATGTGGTTTATGAGGACACAAATTTGTATAATAACATGGGTATGACAGGTATTACAACGAGAAGGTGATTTATGAGGACATTTTCAGTGTCCCCATAATTCAAAAGGCTTATAAATAATTCAGAATGAGTTTTTTTGAAAATCTAAAAATGCAGAAAGTTTCCTGTGAGGGGTAGGTTTAGGTGTAGGGTTGGTGTAGGGCGATAGAATATACAGTTTGTACAGTATAAAAC